GGGGGGGTGTGTGTCACCCCAAATTCCCCCTCCCCCATCTCTGGGACCCCCCTCCCGAGCTCGGCATTTTGGGGCTCGCAGGGTGGAGGGGGTCTCAAGGTGTCCCCCCCTCCCCCTCTGTTATTTCCAGAACCCCCCGTGGTGATTTTGGGGTCACCTCGGCAGTTTTGGGGTTAATTTCGGGGTCCCCTTGTAGTTTTTGGGGCCCCTCGCCGGCAGTTTTTGGTGAGGTGATTTCAGCCCCCCCTTCCCCGACAATTTTGGGGTCTTGTCTGTCTAGATTTGGGTAGCCCCCCCGGCAATTCCGCATCCCCCCGCGGTTTTTGGGGTCCCACCCCGGCAGTTTTTGGGGTCCCCGAGGTGATTCCAGTCCCCCTTCCCCGATAATTCCGGATCCCCCCAATTCCAGGCAGTTTTTGGGGTCCCCTTGGAAGATTTTGGGGCCTCCCCGGTCATTTCGGATCCCCCCCCGGTAATTCCGGATCCCCCTCAATTTCAGGCCGTTTTTGGGGTCCCCCCCGAGGTTTTTGGGGCCGGTTTTTGGGGTTCGCACCGGGCTCGGGGGCGAGGCTGCCGAGGCGCACCAGGGGCGCGCCGGGGCCGTGCCGGGTGCGCGCCCGCAGCTCCAGCCGGTACCGCCCGCGCGGCTCCAGCCGGGCCAGGGTCGTGTTCAGGGTCCCGGGGGGGAACGAGATCTCCAGATCTTCCCCCTCGGTCTGGTTTTCTGCGGGGGGAAAGGGGCAGCGAGGTGAGGGAAGCCCACCGCAAAAAAAAAAAAAAAAAAAAAAAAAAAAAAAAAAAAAAAAAATCAGTCCGGAATGGCCCGAAACGGCCCAGAATGAACCTAAAAAATACTCCCGGAATAGGCGGAAACAGCCCAGAATTAACCCCCAAAACAGCCCAGAATTAACTCCCAAAACCCAGCCCGGAGCAGCCCAAACAACCCCGATGCCAGTGCTCCCAGTGCTCCCAGCGCCCCCTCCCAGTGCTCCCAGTGCTCCCAGCGCCCCCTCCCAGTGCTCCCAGTGCTCACCCAGTCTGTACTGGAGCAGGTACCCGCTCACGACACCGTTCGGGTGTCGCGGTCGCCGCCACTCCAGGCCCAGCGCGGTGTCCCCGAGCCGCTCCACGCGCAGCTCCTCGGGGGGGCCGGGCACTGGGGACAGCCGGTCAGGGACCCCCAAAAACCTCCCCGAAATGGGAGCAGGGCCCCCCAAATCCCCCCAAAACATGGACAAGGGCGTTCGAGTCAGGGACCCCCGAAATGGGGACGGGGAACCCCAACCCCCCCCCCCCCCAAATGAGGCACAGGGACCCCCAAATCCTCCCCAAAATGGGCACGGGGGTCCGGGGGCAATTTGTAGGGTCCCGCATTTTTCAGTTTTTGGGGTCCCGATTTCATATTTTAGGGTTCCGGGGATATTTCAAGACCCCAATGTGGAATACTCGGGTCCCGATTTCACATTTTGGGGCCCCGATGTCACTTTTTTGGGGGTGTCCCGGGCTGGGGTGGGGGGTCTCACCTCCCTCGGGGGTGTGGAAGCGGATCTCGGCGCTGGGGGGTCCCGCCCCCCGCCCGTTGAACACCTGCACCTGCAGGCGGTAGCGGCTCCAGGGGTGCAGCCCCCCCAGCACGGCCCCGCTGGCCTCGCCCGCCACCGTCAGCACCCCCGGCTGGGGAGGGGGCTCGGGGGTCCCGGGGGGGGGGGCCTGGCGCCGGGAGCGCTCCCCCACCCACCCCTCGCGCCAGTACAGCACCTGGGGGGGAGGGGAGGGCGTGAGGATCCCCCCCAAAAAAATCCCCAAAATTCTGCACCCACCCCACATTCCCAGGACCCTCCTAGATCGGGATTTTGGGAATTGCCGACAGGATTTTAACGATTCCTGACAGGATTTTTGGGTTTGGGGTTTTTGGGTTTGGGGTTTTGGGGTTTGGCATTTTTGGGGGTTTGGCATTTTTGGGGTTGGGATTTTCGGGACCCCCCCCTCCTCGCCCCCCAGCCCCCCTTACCCGGTAGCCCCTCAGGTGGCCCCGCAGGTCGCGGGTGGCCCCTCCCAGGCTCCAGCTGACCCGGACGCTGGTGCTGTTCAGGATCTCCACCCCCACATTTTCGGGGTACACCAGGGGCACTGGGGGGGTTTGGAGGGGCTCAGGACCCTCCCCAAAGAGAGGGACCCCCTCCCCCCTCTTAAAACCCCGCCGGATCAGGGCGTTGTGATCCCCTCAAAAAGGGGAATTCAACCCCAAAATGCAGCCCCGGGTTTGGGGTCACCCCCAGATTTGGGGTCCCCTCCCCACCCTGTGCTCTCCCAAAATTCCCAGATTTGGGGTCCCCCCCCAAGTTTGTCTCTCCCAAACCCCTCAGATTCTGGGGTCTCCCACAGATTTGGAATCTCCCCAATTTTTCTCTCCCAGATCCCCCAGATCTGGGCTCCCCCATCACCCCAAATTTGGGGTCTCCCCCACTTTGGCATCCCCCAGCATCCCCAGATTTGAGATCGCCCCCAAATTTGGGGTCTCACTTCTTTTCTCTCCGAAATCCCGCAGATCTGGGCTCTCCCACCACCCCCAAATTTGGGGTCTCTCCCACTTTGGGCTCTCTCAGCCCCGCCAGATTTGGGGTCTCTCAGCTCCCCCAGATTTGGAGTTTCTCCCCATTTCTCCCCCACCACCCCCAGATTTGGGGTCTCCCTCACTTTAGGATCCCCCAGCACCCCCAGATTCTGTGTCTCCCCTCCCTCCCGGGGATAATTTGGGGTGGGGTCCCCCCAAAACTCACGATCCTCCCCGGAGTACCCGACCACCACGGGGGGCTCGGGGCCCTTTCCGGCCTCGTTGAGCGCCTGGACCCGAATCTCGTAGGGGCTGAAAGTTGGGGTGTCCCGGACCACCAAGGGGGGGGCTCCGACCGTGGCCTCGGCCCAGCGACCCCCCCCCGGCTCCAGGGGCCGCCACTGGACCCGGTACCGGAGCTCGGGGGCGTTCCAGTCCCCGGGGGGCAGCGGCTGAGGGGGGAGAGCGCCCCAAAATCAGCCCCGAACCCCAAAATCAACCCCGAACCCCAAAATCAACCCCAAATCCTAAACCCAGCCCCAGCCTCAAATCCTGCCCTGCTACCGGACCCCAAGCTCAGAGTCCCCCCAGACTCATCCCAAAACTCCCACAAATCCCCCCCAGGACCCCTCAACCCCCCCAGGAATCTCCGAAACCTCCCCCAGACCCCCCTAAATCTTCCCAGGACCCCCCAAAATGCCCCAATATCCACCCCAGGACCCCCCAAATTCTCCCCCGTACCTGCCAGGTGATCACCAGGTTGTTGGTCTCGTTCCCCTCCCCCTTCACCCCCATCGGGTACCGCTCCGGGGCTGCGGGGAGAGGGACAGGGACCCCCAAAAATCATCAGAGACCACCCCAAAACTGGGATTTTTTTTTTTTATATTTAATGTATTTTAGGGTTATTTAATGGGATTTTTCTTTTTTTGTTATTTAGGATCTTTTTGGGTTATTTAATGGGATTTTGGGGTTATTTAGGATATTTTAGGGTCACTCACCAGCCGCCCCGGTGCTGATGGTGTCGCTGGCCGTGCTGGGGTCGCCCCGGCCGTAGCCGTTCACGGCCAGCACTCGGAACCGGTACCGCCCGTACGGGGACAGTGCCAGGCGGGCCCAGGGCCGCGAGCCCGGCACCGTCAGCAGCTCCAGCCACTGCCCCGGCGAGAAAATCCCCTCCTCCTGCTCCACCACGAACTCTGCGGGCAGACAGGGGTTAAAGAGGGACCCCAAAAACGCAAAAACCCCAGCAACCCCAAAACTCCCAAATCCGGAACCATGAGATCCCCAAATCCCCACTCCTCCTCCTGCTCCACCGCGAACTCTGCAGGGAGAGAAGGGTTAAAGAGAGACCCCAAAAACCCCAAACCCCGAACCGTTAAATCCCCAAATCCCCAAAACTCCCAAATTCCAAATCCTGAAATTCCCAAATCCCAAAATCCCCAAAACCCCCAAATCCTGAGCTCCAAAACTCCCTCCCGATGCGTCCAGACCTCCCAGGAACCCCTCGGGACCCCCCAGATTCCCCAAATCTTCCCAAATTCCCATCCCAGACCCCCCCCCAAAGCCCCCCTCACTCTCCACGGGGCTGTTGTGCTCCTCGCCCGGGGTCCAGCTGAGCCGGACCTGGCGCTCGCCCAACTCCACAACCTGCAGGTCCCGCACGGGGCCCGGGCGGCCTGGGGAGAGCGGGGAGAAGTGATGGGGAAAATGACGGGAAAAACGGGGGGAAAAACCCATTTCTGGGGTCCCCTCCCCAATTTTTTGGATGTCCTCCCAATTTCTGGGGTCTCCTCCCCATTTTTCGGGTCCCCTCTCCATTCTTTGGGGTTCCCTCCTCGTTTTTGGGGTTCCTTCTCCAATTTTCGGGTTTCCTCCCCCATTTTTTTGGGGTCCCCTCCCCCATTTTTTGGGGTCTCCTCCCCCATTTTTTGGGGTCTCACCCACGACCCTGAGCTCGGCCTCGGCCTCGGCCGCGTCCAGCGGGGTCCAGGCTCGGCACCGGAACCGTCCCTGGTCCCCGTAGTCAACCCCGGCCACCGTCAGCGTGTCCCCGGCCACCGAGAACCTGGGGACACCGGGGGGGCGTCAGGGACACCCCAAAACCCCCCAATCCTTCCTGAGATCACCAAAATCCATCCTGGGATCACCAAATTCTTCCTGGGGTCCACAGATCCACCCTAAACCCTTCCTGGGGACCCCCCCCCCAAATCCCCAAATCTTTCCTGGGACCCTCCAACCTCCTCCCCTAAATCTATTCTGGGACCCTCAAACCCAAATCCCCCTTGAATCCCCCTGGGACTCCCCCGAAACCCCCCTGTGACTCCCAGATCCCCCCCAAACCCCCCCCAAACCTCCCCAAACCCTCCCAGGAGCCCCCAGCCCCCCTCACTTGTCGCTGTCGGGGCTCTCCATCACGGGGGTCCCGTCCCGCAGCCACTGGACCCCGCGGGGCTCCAGGCTGGGGTCGAAGGTGGCCCTGCAGGTGAACGTCACCGTCTCGCCCTTCTTGGCTGTCACGCTCTGGGGGGGCACCTCGATCCGCGTGGCCGCTGGGTTTGGGGGGCAAAGGGGGTGAGGGGGGGTCTGGAGAGGTTTGGGGAGGTCCTGGGTGGGGTCTGGGGGTCTCGGGCCCGGCTTAGGTGTCCCCCCACAGACTCGGGGATCCCATCACACACTCGGGGGTCCCGGGTTGGATTTGGGGGTCCCCGCACAAACTCGGGGGTCCTGGGTTTCCCTCGGGGGGCTCGGGGGTTCCATCACGCACTCGGGGGTCCCGGGTTGGATTTGGGGGTCCCGGGGGTCCCTCACCCCTCACGTCCAGCCGCGCGGTGACGCTGGCGTTGCTGTGCCCGTTGTGGGCCCGGCAGGTGAAGACCCCCCCGTCCCCCCGCCCGGCCGGGCCCAGCCGCAGCGTCCCGTTGGTGAAAGCGAAGGCTCGGTCATCCTGCAGGGCGGGCTCCAAAGCCGGGCTTAACCTGGGGAAACACGGGAGGCACGAAAAGGTAACAAAAAGATGTTTTATAGATAGAGCCGGGCTTAACCTGGGGGAAAAATACCGCTCGGGGTGGGGAGGGGGTGGGGAAGGACATTTAAATGTTTAAAATTTAAAAATTTAACCAAAAAATATTTTACAGATACACAGAAAGTTCCGTAAGAATAAATGCGAGTTTTGATCTAAAACAACAACAACAAAAAAAATCGCTGAGCCGCTGTTAGTAAGGAACTAGAAAACAAAGAGCAGGTTTGGGGGGCTTTGGGGGGGGTTTGGGATAGTTTTAGGGTAGTTTTGGGGTGTTTTCGGGGGAGGTTTGTGGGGATTTTGGGGTGGTTTTGGGGTAGTTCGGGGCTCTCACCACTCCACGGCGGGCGCGGGTGCCCCGAAGGTCCGGCAGTGCAGGAACGCCGTTTGATTTTCCACCACGGCGTAACGCGACGCGTCCGGGGTCAGGATCTGCACCGGCAGCTCTGGGGGGTTTGGGGCGGTCAGGGACACCCCCAAGGATCCCAAAATCCCCACCTTGATCCCACATCGGGGTTAAAATCCATCCCGGGATCCCAAAATTCGCACTCTGGGACCCCAAATCCGCACCCTGGGATCGTCACTGGGAGCTCTGGGGGGGGGGGTTGGGATGGTCAGGGACACCCCCCGGGATTCCAAAATCCTTCCTGGGACCCCAAATCCCCGCCCTAAGCATCCCCACTGTCTCCATGGCAACGGGTACCCCTGGCTGCTAGGAATGGTTGTCATAGCAACCACAGGACAGCCAGGTTGGCATGGTGACAGGCGGGGTGATTGCGTTGCCATGGGGATGCCGTTGCCATGGAGACGTCACCACTGTGGGTACCGCACCCGTCACCACGGCAACACCATCACCACGGCAACGGCTGCCCAGGGATGCTCTGGTTGCCCATGGAAACACCAGGAGGGGATTTTGGGGGAATTAATCAGATTTTGGGGGTCCCGGGGGATTATTGATCAGGTTTGGAGGAGTCCCGGGGGGCGGATTATTGGTCAGATTTTGGGGGTCTCAGGAATATTGATCAGATTTTGGGGATCCTGGGCGATAATTGATCAGATTTTGGAGATCCTGGGTGATTATTTATCAGGTTTGGGGGTCTGGGGTGACGCACCCACGACGTAGACGAAGGCGTTGGCCAGGAGCCGCCCGTGGCTGTTGCTGGCCTCGCACTGGGCAACCACGGAGTCGTTGGGCTCCAGGCGGGACAGAACCAGAGCCCCGTCCCGAAGAGCCCGGCGGTCCGAGGGGGGCAGCTCTGAGGGGACATTGGGGACATTGAGGGGACACACGGGGGACATGGGGACAGCAGGGACATTGGAGGCGTTGAGGACATGGGGACATTGAGAGGGCACTGGGGACTTCAGGGGGATTGAGGACGCTGGAGACACAGGGAGGACACTGGGGACACCCAGGGGACATGGGGGACACTGGGGACATCACTGGGATGGGTGGTGGGGACACTGGGGACACCCAGGGGACATTTGGGGACAGCGGGGGGATTGGGGACATGAGGGAGACTGGGGGGATTGGGGAGATTTGAGACATCGGGGACATCAGAGGACACCAACCCCCCCCCAGGGGACACCCAAACCCCCTCCCCACAAACCCTCAGGGACACCAACGCCCCCCAAGGGACCCCCAAATCCCCTCCCCGTACCGTGCAGGGGGATCCCGTTCAGGCTCCAGTTGATCCGTGGCCGGGGTTTCCCTCCGACCTCGCAGTCCAAGCGCGCCGTCTCACCGGGCCCGAACACCGCGCTGCGGGGGCGGCGCACCCAGTACGGGGCGGCTGGAACCAGTACACACCAGTATAACCCAGTATAACCCGCTATAGGCCAGTATAACCCGGTGCCCTCCCAGTGCCCATCCCAGTACCCTCCCAGTATCCCCAGTACCCTCGACGGTGACGCTGTGGCTGCGCCGGTCGCGGCCCTGCCCGTTCTCGGCCGTGCACTCGTAGTCGCCGTCGTCGGCCTCGGTGACCGCGCGCAGCCGCAGCGTTTTATTGAAATTGTCCAGCACGGCCCGGCCCGGCGGCAGCGGCCCGTTCAACCGGCGCCAGGACACCCAGGGCGTGGGGCTGAAACCGGGGTTAGACCGGGGTTAAACCGGGGTAATCCCTGAGACCCCCGGGATACCCCTGGACCCCCCTCAAACCCCCCCAAGACCCTTCTGGACCCCCCCAGGATTCCCTCAGGACCCCCCTCAAACATTCCCAGGATCCTCTCAGATCAACCCAGGGACCCCCGAAAGCCCCTCCAAACCCCTCCAGGACCCCCCAAAATCTCCCCAAACCCCTCCTGGACTCCCCCAGGACTCCCAGACCCCCCCCCCCCCCCCCCCCCCCCCCCCCCCCCCCCCCCCCCCCCCCCCCCTCCCCACTCACAGCCCCTCGGCGATGCACTCCAGCACCAGGGTCTCCCCCCTCAGTGCCACGTGGGTGGGTTGGGGGTCTCTGGGGACCACCAGGCGGGGCCGCCGGGACTGCACCGAGTTACCTGCGGGGGGGGGAAAGGGGTGAGAGACCCCCCCCAGAAGCCCCCCAAATTCCTGAGAACCCCCCCCAAACCCCCCAGGATCCCCCCAAACCCCCCAGGGGTGGTTAAAGACCCTCCTCCAAAACCCCAGGAGTCTCCAGGAGAGTTTTGGGGGATGATGATCCCAAAGTGGGGGGGTGCCCATGGGGTGGGGTCCTGGGGGTCCCATCCCACGATTTTGGGGTAGAATTCCCCGAAAATGGAATTGAGGCGCTCCCACAGCTTCTCCTTTGAGGTCCCCGGGGGGATTTGGGGGCGGTTTTGGGGTCGCCCCGCCCTCACTGGGGGTGACGCGCAGGTCCAGGGGCTCCTTCTGGATGATAGTGCGGGGTCCCAGGTAATGCGCGTGGCAAATGTAGTCGGGGTGGCTGTCGCCAACCTGGGCGTTGGCAAAGTACAGGAACCCGTCCTGGCCCATGCTGACCCGCGCGTCCTGCGCGATGTGCACGATCCCTGCACGGGGAAACCCCAAAATTAGTCCAAAACTGACCCCAAAACTGCCCCTAAACCTGACCCGCGCGTCCTGCGCGGTGTGCATGATCCCTGCGAGAAACCCCCACAACGACCCCAAAACTGACCCCAAACCGACCCCTAAACTGACCCAAAACTGGCTCCAAACCGACCCTAAACCGGTCGCATGATGACCCGCGCGTCCTGCGCGATGTGCACGATCCCTGCACGGGGAAACCCCAAAAACGACCCCAAAACTGGCCCCAAACTTGCCCCAGGGTCCCCAAAAGGTCACCGAGGTATAGGTGGGGGGATTATGGGGGTTCAGGGAGGATTTGGGGGGGGTTCAGGAAGGATTTGGGGGGGGTTCAGGGGGTATTTTGGGCCCACCGCCCCCCCAGCCCCGCGTGCTCACGGCTGTTGAGCCAGTAGATCTTGGGGGGCACGGCGCTCTTGGGGGGGTCGCAGGGCAGCACCACGGGGTCCCCCTCCTCCACCTCCACCGGGGTCACCTTCTCCTTGGGCCACTGCGGCGTGTCTGGGGGCAACAGCGGCTGTGGGCACCCCAAAAACCTCCAGGAACCCCAAAAAACTGCCGGGGAACCCCGAAACCACTGGAGAACTCTTGGCTGGGGGCTCCTCCTACCCCCCCCTACACCCCAGAAACAGCCGGGGAACCCCAAAAACCACCAGGGAACCCCAAAACCAGCCGGGGACCCCCGGGCTGGGAGCTCCCTCTGCCCCCTAAACCATCCAGGGAACCCCAAAACCACCGAGGAACCCCAAATTTGGGACCTTCCCCCTCCCCAAAGCAGAGACCCCCACATTTGGGGGCAGCCCCAGGATTTGGGTTTTGGGTGAGGGGTCCGGAAATTGGGGTTGGAGGATCGCAGGGGGATTTTGGGGGACCCCAGGGCAGGTTTGGGGTCACCCTGAGGGGTCTGAAGAGATTTTTTTGGGATTTTTTGGGGTCTCACTCTCGGCGATGACACGGCTCTCGTGGGACAGCGCTGACCCCAGCGGGACTTTGGGGGGGATTTTTGTTGATTTTTTGGGGGATTTTTTTTTTTATTTTTTGGGGATATTTTTGGGGTCTCACTCTCGGCGATGACGCGGCTCTCGTGGGACAGCGCTGTCCCCAGTGCGTTGCTGGCGGTGCACCGGAACCGGCCCTGCAGGCGCCCGGCCAGGCTGGCGTTGATGACCAAGGTCCCCCCCCCGGGGGACACCGAGACCCCCCCGAGCTCCGCCGAGAACGGGCGGTCCTCGCGTGTCCAGCGGAACCTGCGGGGACAGGGGCTGAGGGGACACGGGGACACCTGGGGGGGACACACCAGGGACACTGGGGACAGTGGATGAGAGGGGACACCTGGGCGGACATCACGGGGATCCTGAGAGGGGACAGGGGACAGCAGGGGGGACACAAGGACACCGGGAGAGCGCGACACGGGGGGGACACACCGGGAACACCGGGGGACACGAGGAGGGGGGACAGCGGGGACACTGGAGGTCACGCGGACACCCGAGGGGACACTGGGGGTCAGCGGCTGAGGGGGGGACACCTGGGGACATTCAGCAGGTGGGGGGGACACGGGGGGACATCGAGGGGACATTTACCGGGTGGGGGACACGGTGGGGACACAGAAAAAGACGGGGAGGGGACATTGACTGGACTGGGGGGTGTGTGGGGACACCGAGGGACGCTGGGGGAACACAGGTGACACTCCACCGGGGGGGCTCAGAAGGGACACGAAGGGACACAAGTGACACACTATGTGACACCCAGGTGACACCCAGGTGACACTCACTCCACGGGGGGGTCTCCGGTGGCCGCGCACTTGAGCACGACGTCATCGCTGGGGAACACCACGAGCTGCTCCGGGGGCTGCTCCGTCAGCTCGGGGGGCTGCTGGACTGGGGGGGGAGGGGGGACAGCGGCTGGAACCCCCCCGCAGACAACCCCAAACCGCCCAGACACCCCCAGGACCCCCCCAGAGCCACCCAGAAACTCCTGAAGCCCCCAGACCCCCTCCCCAGCACCCCCGAGGAC